TTAAAGCCACACACTGGCTATTCCTCATCTTTCCATTAATTTAGTTGCCTACTCTGAGAAAAGTATATGTTTAAAAATTCAAAAGTCCAAGTATAAGAATAATTCTTGCACCATATTTTTTGTGGAAGGTTTCAACAGCTTGAAAACTAGCGGCCAACACAATTTCTAGTCCAATTGCCAGCAAGAGACAATTTGCGTGGGTCCTCGCAATTGCGGGTGTGAAAGTGGGGCCTAGAGAAATTTTTGAATCCCATTTTATTTACTGTGAGAGGTGGATGGATGGATGCAATGTGTTTGTCCCGTGGAGGTTTTACTTATGGTGTCGGAAAAAGAGGAAGTTGAATTTTGAATGCTTATTAAAAGGGGGCAGAAGAACCCTTCATACTAATCTCTATTTGCTTAAGCATATTACAGAAATTGTAAAAAGCTTTGAGGTTTTCATCATGACAAAGCACGGACTATAAATACTGCACAAATCAATAGGATGAGAACAGAAGTTATTTCCCAATTATATTATGAATCATCCATCCCTATGTTTCGGAATATATATGTATAGAAATGACATCAATAAACTCATTCCGTGAAACCAATGCAAAATGTATAACATTGTTTTAGAAAAGTTCATGACCCTTCAAGAAATAGTCCATATACATCTTTTTTATCGAATAATATTGCATACGAGTGCAAGTTGGATTAGAATTTCTGAGTAATTTATTGTTGAACGAAACATGATTTAATGATCAAATAGACATAGACAAGTTGTTTTTTAAAGGATAACATCAAGTACTAGCATATAATAGTTTTTTCAAGTTTTTAGTATGACTTTTTAAGTATGAGTCAATTTTAACCTTTCAAATGGTTGGGCATGTTTACAAGTTTGACCTACTTTCCCAAAATTTCCAAAAATAATCTGAAGTATGTGTGTTCTGAAATTTTTCAAAAATTCTGAAAATTCCGAAATTGGAATGCATATTGAAATTCTAAACTTTTTTGGAACGGAATTGGAAAAGAATTTTCATTCTGAATTTTTTTGGATTGGAATCCCTTGATTCCAATATGTTCCGTCCGAAAATAAGGTATAATATTTCGAGATGGGGATCAAAGGTGAATTCGAGACTATCGAGACTATGTGTACATAGAATAAATACTCTTAGTCACTATACACTCTCTTCTATCAAGAGTCATTATATACTCCATAAAAAGAGAACTTTTGAGGATCTAGCTAGTGTGTGAGTGAGAGAGGGAGGTGGAGAAAGCGAGAGATGTCACAGTAGATCTTTGAATTTTGAATGCTTAATGAATTAAGGTGTGCTTCACAAAAACATATGGGGGTTTCATTCAGTTTCACTGCAGACACGAAGGAGACATTATCCATGTCTGCCTCAACAGGTCTCAGGTAGTTTTCATGAACCCCACATGCCCCCCACTACATACATAAATATATATACTTCTGTTCTGGATTATAGAAGATGCAGGGTCATTGGCAACCAGCCACAGCTACAGCCACAGCCAGCCACTCATCAATTTAGTCTTTAGATGTTGTGTCTCCTCCTACCTGCAAACCTAGAAATTAAATATGTACCTACATTTTTGTGCTTTCCCTTCCATCTCCTGCCTTATCTTATCTGGATTCTGGAGCACATAAATTTCGACAGCGCCACAAATTGTTATAAAAAAAAATCATTTTGGTGAGTGGATTTTGCACTATTGTATAATTCGCACGTGTTCTTTTTAATTTCTTAAATTTTAGGTCATTTGCATGTATTAATGCTTCTATTAATTATAATTATTTTTAAAATCTACGATAACAATTTAAATCTTGAAACTATTCTCTCAACTTTTAGTGGATTCCAGAATCTTTACTTTAGGTTTTCAGGATTTCATTAGCTAGATTGATATCTATATCTAGTCTAATCATGCTTTCTTTCTTTCTTCTTTGCTGGCTTCACTGATTTGATCAATTCATAAAAATGAAACAAAATAGTACACAAGAAATTATGTGGCTCATCAAAAGAATATCTTGTCAATTCATACGGTATTCTTGTTGTTCTGGTTGTATGACTTGTTACGAGAATTAATTCAATCAGATTTTTTCACTCAATTTATAAAAGTGGCATACAAGTTACAACGAAGCATATGAAAAGTGTAATTTGCTTTAGACACTCAACTTCTTACACTTCTAATCAATGTCGGCATTTCTTGAAGTGGTGTAGATTGTGTTACTTATATATTGTGTAGCACCAATATAAATATGTTTATATACCGTGATCTTATTCTCAGTAAGCTGGAATCCCATTCCTATTGCCCCAAAATACTCATACCAACAGTAATATTCAACTTAGGTTTTACAATGTTGTGGTAAAAAAGTTTATTTTTATAATTTTACCTCTTTTAATAGAATTAGCTCTGTGACGCACAAAACGACGTCAGAGCGACTTCATCTTTTGTTCATCACATTTTCGCGCTGGCAAACGCCAAAATTGGAGGCGTAGTACGCGGGTGGAGAGAGATACCAACAAGGAGGCGGGAATCAAGGAATGGCCGTACACGTGTGTGGTGGGGATGTAGCTCATCCACGTGGGAAGTAGGCTAGCTATGATGAAGGGTGTGGGCCCCTCCCAAGCTTGTGCTGTGAGCTTGATATGCGTTGGGGCCGTGGGGGCGGTGGGCTTGGACCTCTCATCTCTGTTCTTCTTCTCTCCCAGTCAGTGAGAGAGAGAGAGAGAGAGAGAGAGAAGGCAAGTTGTACAAAAGGCAATCATTTGATGTGGGGGGTGATGCTTTTCAGTGGTTTTGCTAGTCCCCATGGAGATTATGTCTGATGCTGACACCTTTGGCCATTCTGATGCCTTTGGCCCCCTTCCATCCATCACCACCAAGCAACCATAAAAAACTATAATGTACTGTAATTCCCTCTTATCTCACAGCCCTTTGAGCCGGATAAACTTATTTCAACGGAGACAACAAAAGGTAGCAATGTTTTGCTATATCCAATCAATAATTATATGTTTTGTGGAAGTGTTATTATATGTGTCATAGCGTTATTGATCGAGGACAGTAAAATAGTGCTATTCATTGTTTTATGAAAGTCTTTCTACTTTGAGCCACATCAACTCAATCATTAATAATAGGGATTAGAGGTTAATATTACCTGTTGACACATACTAAACAATATGTACAACTAAATAGATCAATTTGTTCATGGTTCAAATTCATTGTCTAACACCACAAAATGTATTGTCAGACAATTTAGTAAGAGAGTATTTTATCTAAAGTATATTTTCACAAATATAAAGGCATTTGAATTTTGCATGCATGACACGTAATTTAGGTATGACTAGGTGTGAGAGCTTGCCGATATTCAAAATACACTTGAAGTCACGTGTATTCGATAAGATGATGGTGTGAGGTTCCCTTGATATTCAAGAAAAATACACAATCATTTTGATATGTATCAATCATTTGTTATTTGTGAGACCCTAAGAGTTATTTTCGTTATGAAAAAACAAGTCCAATTTAACGTTGAATTTTGTCAAATGTTGATATCAAATGTGGAATATTTGTTTGAATGCATGCTTTAGTTTAACATTATCAAAATGTAGTTTGCGAAAAAGGGTATTACCCAATATCAACGTTTTTCTTGTTACATAATTTGTGAGTTTTATGTGGAACTCTAAAGTGAAATTTATTCTGGAGTCAAATTGTGAATTTGAGATTATAGAATGAAAGTGCATATTACAAAGAGTTCACAGTATTTTTCGGTGAATTTTGAATATGGAGGTCTCAAAGCTTGGACTGGGTCCATAGTCGAACGCAAGAGTCGAATGGCCGAGTCCAAGTCAAGAGATCCCAATACCGAGTTTTGGCAACTGGAGCACAATTCATGTGTGGTGACGTTAAATTGGTGAATGACAAAGGAGTGCACAAAAAAATGAAAAATGAAATCACTTTCAAGTTGTTTTAAAACTACAAACGAAACTTGTTACCAAACATGTTTTCAATTTTCCAAAAAAATGAAAGTGAAAATGAAATGTTATCAAACAACCCTAAATTGCACAAATCAGAATTCACAAATCTTCATTGCTAGGGAAATGCTAATATAGGATAAGGATTAGACACATGGTGGGCTTGGAATTAAATGGGTCAGATGACATAGAGCTGGGCTTGTACAATTTTGAAAATAACCCTTTGGATGCTTTCATCCTGTATTGGATGGTTATGTGCATGTTTGATACCCACAAAATCTCTATAGACATCCAAATTGCCCAAAAGAATGGTCCTTGCAGTTGGGTGTGAAAGAGATAATTTGGTTCCGAAAAGAAATTTCAGGGGAATTAATTCAATTACATTTTTCACACCTAAGAAATGGAGGATTGATATCATATATTTGGCCATACTTGGAAATTAACTATGAAATATCATTCTATTTTATTTTATGTTTGTTTTCTGCAAAAAATTAGGAACAAAATTTATTTAGTTTTCCAATTATACGCTTACTGTTTGCCTTGATTTGTTTAATGAGTGGTCATAAAATACATAGTTAATGCTTCTACCTTGATTTCATATGAAAAACTAAAATAAAACCCCAAGTTAGATGGAAGGTTTCATTTTTTGTAAGAAAAAAAAACTTTCTCAAGTTTGAACTTACCAAACATAGAAAATGAACTAATTTCTCATTCCGAAGCTCATTTTCATGCGAACCAAATCGCCTTTGACTCTTCGAGTATTGACCAAAATAAAAAAAGGCCTTTGAGTGTCTAGAGGATAACCCTCAGCTCTTTTAGCCCAAGCCCATTGCGAGACCTACCAAGGAGATAAGTATCACAAATTCAAAAGAGTACTAGGAAATGTTGAGAAGCTGAAGCCCGCCAAAGAGCGCCAGAAACCGGTCCCCTCCCTTCCTACCTGCCTAGCTGGCAAGGCCCAACGCCTCAAACCGTGCCACTTGTCACCAACCCTCTTCCACAAAGTCACGCAGTAGACTAGTCATCCCTCCCACGGACAAAGCCTCAGACAACGAAACCATGCCGCAAGCAACGCCAATTTCAATTTCATTTCAAATTTCACCCTAAACTCTTCGACTCTCTCTCTGTCTTCATCTCCAAAACCCAAAAAACCAGAGACCCAAAATTCATCAATAAAAATGAAAATGAAGGCAGAGGCTTTGACGTTGCTGCTGGTCAACTTGGCCGGAATCATGGAGAGAGCCGACGAGTCGTTGTTGCCTGGCGTCTACAAGGAGGTTGGCGCAGCTCTGCACACCGACCCGACTGGGCTCGGCTCGCTCACTCTTTTCAGGTCCATTGTGCAGTCGGCTTGCTACCCAGTAGCGGCCTACCTGGCGGTGCGCCACAACCGGGCCCACGTCATCGCCCTCGGTGCTTTTCTCTGGGCCGCCGCTACTTTCCTCGTCGCATTTTCCTCCACTTTCTTTGAGGTAATTTTGACTTTTTCTCTGTTGCCAGACAGAAAGATTCTGCCTTTATTGGATTGTGATTTTCAGTTTGTGAAGTTGTCAATTGGGCTTGCTGAAAACGGTTATTTTGATGAGACTGTTGAGCTGGAGATTTAGATTACTATTTATAGTAATTATGCGTTCTCTTTTGAATTTAGTAGTGGATCAGTCTTTAGCAAGGTAATTGTGATATAAGTTATAATTGCCAATTAGGCTTAAAATTGAGTTGGTGCAAGAACTGCTGAGACTCAATGAGATTGTGCTTCAAATTCTGGCCTGAGAAATTATTAATCTAACTTGAAGGGGAAGAGTTTGGGGATGTTTATTTCCATTTCTAGTATATTCTATGCGTGTCACAAGTGGAGAACTTCTTGAAATGCTTAGGGGAGGAAAAGAAAAGAAAAGAAAAGAACTAAATTTACTTGTTGCTTTGGTTGCTAGCAAAATGGACGGTTTACATTACCTATGCAAGTAGTTGTTGTAAAAGCTTGATTTGAACACAATTGAGTAGTTGTAGGGGATACATTTTTGTTTTTCTTGTTTCTGGATATGTTTGACCATTCAAATAGACACCCCAGAAACCAGAAGACACTGTTCAATTTATTGCTCAATAAATCATGGTATCTTACTACTTGAAGTGTAGTTGGAATTACCACTCTATTGGCAGGTCAGAAGCAATGGTGTTTTCTGTGAGTAGCCTTATAAATATTTATTATTATTATTTTAAAAAGAGCTCACAGAAGCTTAAAATTTGGTGAGAGTTGTTTCAAATTGAAATATTTTGACATACAAAAAAAGGATTCATCACCAAAGTTTCTGAGAAGTGAACAAAAAAGATGTTTTCCACTTTTTTCCTTTGTTTTTCTTCAAATGATACCCAAAGTCTTACTTGCCTATAGTCTCTAATGCCTTCCTCATAAAATAAAATAAAACAAAAACCCAAGGACCATGCATGAGCGTAATTGTTTGTTATGAAATAGAGCTGTGACAAGTTAATTTATTATAGTCAGTTGTTCCCCAAAACATTCATTTGAACCAATTGATAAGAAAGGGTGAATAACTGAAGTTAGCAAAACAGAACGAGGGAAGTATCATTATTTTTCGTATTGCAGCTTGTTTTATTCACTTTGAAGTCATTCCGCTTTTACTTATCAGGTGGCTATATCCAGAGCTTTGAATGGGATTGGCCTTGCTCTAGTTGCTCCTGCTATGCAGTCCCTTGTAGCCGACTCAACTGATGACAGGAACCGAGGTACAGCTTTTGGATGGCTTCAACTAACTGGAAACCTTGGTTCGATAATTGGTGGGCTTTGTTCCATATTGATAGCTCCAATAACTTTCATGGGAATTCCTGGCTGGAGGATTTCCTTTCACCTTGTTGGACTAATTAGTGTTCTAGTCGGCATTTTAGTCCGTCTGTATGCCACTGACCCGCACTTTCCAGATGGTGAAACAAAAGATAGCAGTCAGACTTCTGGTAATTCCATGTGGTTACAAGTCAAGGAGCTAGCTCAAGAAGCCAAGTCAGTTATTAAAATTCCTTCTTTCCAGATTGTTGTGGCACAAGGTGTTACTGGTTCATTTCCCTGGTCAGCATTGTCATTTGCACCCATGTGGCTGGAACTTACCGGCTTCTCTCATGGGAAATCCGCTTTCCTTATTGCCTTGTTTGTAATTGGTAGTTCGCTTGGGGGCCTGTTTGGAGGTAAAATGGGGGATATCCTTTCCATCCATCTACCAAATTCAGGAAGGATAATACTAGCCCAGATAAGCTCTGCATCTGCCATCCCTCTTGCAGCAATTCTTCTGCTTGTATTACCTGATAATCCATCTACAGCTGTCATCCATGGTTTGGTCTTGTTCATTATGGGATTCTTAATATCTTGGAACGGTCCAGCTACAAACAAGTAAGTCTCTAAAACTTTATTCTCGGGTTTCTGGTCTTTAATGTCTGCTACATTCTTATGGAAACTAAAACAAAGGAAAAAGATTAAAGTTTTAAATCCAATGCCATGGTCCATGCAGTCCAATTTTTGCGGAGATAGTTCCTGAGAGGTCCAGAACAAATGTATATGCTTTGGACAGATCTTTTGAGTCCATACTCTCATCATTCGCTCCTCCAGTAGTTGGGATATTGGCTCAGCATGTTTATGGTTATATACCAGTTGCTGAAGGGTCCAGTGCATCTGAAGAGATTGCCACAGATAGAGGGAATGCTTTATCGTTGGCAAAAGCACTCTATACAGCAATAGGAATTCCAATGGCTCTCTGTTGTGTTATCTACTCATTCCTATATTGCACCTACCCGAGAGATAGGGAGCGGGCTCAGATGGATGCTTTAATAGAATCAGAGATGCAACAAATAGAATTAGAGAATTCACCTACAGGAGAAGAATATTCATGTGTTCGGTTTCCTGAGTC